TTTTTCCATCTTTCCTGTCTTTCTTTGTTTCATTTTCTTTTTCCGTCTTTTTCTTTCTTTCTTTTCTTTCTTCTTTTTTCCTCAATCTTTTTGTCCGTCTTTCCTTTCTTTTTTTGTTTCATACTTCCTCTTCCTTTCATTTCCATCTTTCCTTCCTTTCTTCCTTCCTTTTGCTTTCTTCGTTTTCTTTTCTTTTTCTTTCTTTCTTTCTTTCTGTCCGTCTTTTTTTTCTTTGTTTCGGCCTCCTGTCTTTCTTTTAATTTCATTTTTTCTTTTTTTGTTTCATTTCTCCTTTCTTTTCATTCTTTCTCTTTCTCTTTCTTTCCGTCTTTTTTTCTTTTTATTTCCTTCCTCTGTCTTTCTTTTTCTTTCTTTCTTTCTTTTCAATATTTCTTTCTTTCTTTTTTCTTTTCATTCTCTCTTTCTTTATTTCTGTCCGTCTTTTTTTCTTTTTTATTTCATGCCTCCTGTCTTTTCTTTGTTTTCATTCTTTCTTTCTTTCTTTTCATTCTTTCTTTCTTTCTTTTCTTTCTTTTTTTCTTTTTCTTTCTTTCTTTTTTTTCTTTCTTTTTCATGCCTCCCCTGTCTTTCTTTGTTTTCCTTTCTTTTTTCTTTCTTTCTCTCTTTCTTTCTTTCTCTTTCTTTCTTGCTTTTTTCTCTCTCCTTCTGTCTTTCTTTGTTTTTTTTTTCCGTCTTTATTTCATTCTTTCTTTTGTTTCTTTTTTCATTCTCTCTTCTTTCTGTCCCGTCTTTTTTCTTTTTATTTCATTCCTCCTGTCTTTCTTTTTGTTTCATTCTTTCCGTCTTTTCTTTCTTTCTTTTTTCTTTTTTCTTTCTCTTATTTCTTTTCTGTCCTTTTTTTTTTCTTTTTATTTCATGCCTCCTGTCTTTCTTTGTTTCATTCTTTCCGTCTTTCTTTCTTTCTTTCTTTCTTTCTTTCTGTCCGTCTTTTTCTTTTTTTCATTTCCTGTCTTTCTTTGTTTCATTCTTTCCGTCTTTCTTTCTTTCTTTCTTTCTTTTTTTTCTTTTCATTCTCTCTTTCTTTTATTTTTTTTTTCTTTTATTTCATTGCCTCCTGTCTTTCTTTTTTCATTTTTCTTCTTCCCGTCCTTTCTTTTTTTTCTTTTCTTTCTTTTTCTTTTTCTTTTCTTTTCCTGTCTGTCTTTTTTTCTTTTTTTTCATTCCTTCTTTCTTTTTTTTTCTTATTTCCACTTTCTTTCTTTCTTTCCGTCTTTCTTTTTCTTTCTTTTCATTCTTTTCTTTCCTCCTTTTTTTCTTTTTTATTTCTGCCTCCTGTCTTTCTTTGTTTCATTGTTTCTTTCTTTCCTTTTCTTTTTTTTCTTTCTTTTCTTTCTTTTCATTTTCTTTTCTTTTTCCGTCTTTTTCTTTCTCTTTCCCTTTCCTGTCCATCTTTTTTTTTCTTTTCTTTCTTTTTTCCGTCTTTCTTTCTTTTTTTTTCTCTTTTCTTTTTCTCTTTTCTTTTATTTTTTTCTTTCTTTCTCAATTCTTTCATTCTGTTCTTTTTTTTTTTATTTCATTTTCCTTTTATTCTTTTTTTTCATTTCCTCCTTTTCTTGCTTTCTTTCATTTCTTTCTTTCTTTCTTCTTTTTTCTTCTTCCTTCTTTTCCTTTTTTTCTTTCTTCCTTTCTTCCTTCTTCTTTCCTTCTTTTTCTTTCTTTTTTCTTTCTTTCTTTCTTTCTTTCTTTCTTTTCTTTTCCTTTTTCTCTTTCTTTTTCCGTCTTTTTTTTTCTTTTTTATTTCATACCTCCTGTCTTTCTTTGTTTTCATTCTTTCCATCTTTCTTTCTTTCTATTCCTTTCCTCTTCCTTCCTTCTTTTCTTTTTTTTTTTTTGCGCTTTTCTTTCTTTCTTTCTTTTTCATTTCTTTCTTTTTTTATGTCCGTCTTTTTCTTTTTATTTTTATTTCCTGTCTTTATTTTCCTTCATTCTTTCTTCCTTTCTTTCCTTCTTTTTCTTCCTTCCTTCCTTCCTTCTTTTCTTTTTTTTTCTTTCTTTCTTTCTTTCTTTCTTTCTTTCTTTTTTATTTCATTATCTCTTTCATTATTTCTTTCTTTTTATCTTTCTTTCTCTCTCTTTACTTTTCATCTTTTTCTTTTCTTTTTATTTCTTTCTTTCTTTTCTTTTCTTTCCGTCTTTCTTTCTTTCTTTTTCTTTTTCCTTCCTTATCTTTCCTTCCTTCCTTTCGTTCTTTTTACTTTTCTTTTCTTTCTTTCTTTCTTTTCTTTTTTCATTTTTTCTTTCGATTTTTCTTTCTTTTCTTTTAGTTTTTTCTTCTTTTTCTTTCTATTTTTCGTTTTTTTTTCTTTTTCTTCATATCTCCTTTCTTTCTTTGTTTTTTTCACTTTCATTTCTTTTTTTCTTTCTTTCTTTTTTCATTTTTTTTCGTTTTATTTTTTTTCTCTTATATTTCTTTGTTTCATTTCTTTCTTTCTTTCTTTTAATTTTCTTTCTTTCAATTTTTCTTTTCTTTCTTTCCATTTTTTTTTTTTCATTTCGTTCCCGTCATTTTTATTTATTTCTTTCCTTCGTTTTTTTCATTTCATTTCATTCATTTCTTTCTTTTTCTTTTTTCTTTCTTTCTTTCTTTCTTTTTTTCTTATTTCATAGCTTCTGTCTTTCTTTCCGTCTTTCTTTTATTCTTTCTTTCTTTCCTCCTGCCTGTCTGTTTTTCTTTATTTCTTTCATGCATTCTTCGTATTTTTTTTTTACTTTCTTTGCCTTTTCATTCTCTCTTTTACTTTCTTTCTTTCTTTCTTTAATTCTTTCTGTCTTCTTCTTTTCTTTTTCTGTCTTTCTCTCTTTTATTTTTCTCTCTTTCTCACTTCTTTTTCTTTCGTTCGATATACATTTTTTTCCGAATTTTCTCTTTCTTTCTTTTAAATCTTTGAAACATTCTGGACTTTCTTTCAAACCTTTTTTTTTCTTTCTTTCTCCTTTAAAGAATATTTCCGTCATTCTTTTATTCTTTCTTTCTCCGAAAAATCATTTTCTCTGTTTCTTTCGGATTTGTCTTTCCATCTTTCATTTTTAAATTGATTTCCTTTTCAATGTTATGAATTCTTTTTCGCATGTTGGTTTTTATCTTTATTTAAATACAGTTTTCTGTCCGTGCTACTCGAACGAGAGATTTTTCTCCCTTCAAGCTTTATTCAGTTTCGTATTCAATCCTGTCTATTTTCATCACATTCCTTTTCGGACATTTAAATTCTTTTAGTTTTAGACATTTTGGAAAATACTTTATTTTAAAAATTTCCATTTTTCCTTTCTTCCTATCTTTATAATTTCCTTCCTTTTTCTTCCTTGACGTTTTTCCTTAGAATTTAAACTTTATTCCACCCTCCCTTCCTTTTCGCTTTCATCTTTGATTTACTTTGACTTTTTTCTGTCTTTCTTTCGTTTTAACCGTTAGGCATGATCCTCTGGACATTTTCTTTCATTCTTTTACTTTCTTTTTACGAACAGTCTTTTATTCTTTTTGTCTTTTCCACGTAGGCGGTCATTTCTTTCTCTCTTTTTCTTTCTTTCTTAAACGTTCTTTCTTTCTTTTTTCTTTCTTTCTTCCTGATTGTCTTTCTTTTCTTTTATTGTCTACGTTTTGAATTTTCTTTTTTTAACGTTTTTCACATTTTAGGCATTTTTTGCGCGTCTGTGTGTTTTACGTTTCTTTTCTATTTTAATTGCATTCTTTTTTTCTCTTTGGAGTTTTCTTTTTTTTTTCGTTCTTTCAGAAAATCTAAATTTTATCTTTCTTTTCTTTACCTGCAGTCTTTTTTTATCTTTCATTCTTCTTTTTTTCTTTTTTCTTTATTTCTTTCTTTTACGCTTTGAGAAAAGTCTTTTTCCTCTCCGTTTTCTTCCCTTATTTCTTTCTTTTTTTAATTTAACTCTATCCTTTCTTTTTTAGGCTTTCTTTCCAACGTTTTTTCTTTTATTCTATCCTTCTCCGTGTCACAATTTATTTATTTCTTTGAACGTTTTTCTTTTTTATATTCATTCGTTTCTTTCTTTTTTCTTTGTTATTTCTTTCTTAACGTATTTTTATGGCTCTTTCCAGTATTTTCCTTTTTCTTTTCTTTCTTTCTTTCTTTCCTTTCTTTAATTCTTTCTTTCTTTTCTTTTTTTGTTACGTTTCTTTTTATTTCTTTCAGAATTTTTTTTATTTCTTTCTTCCTTTCGTACAATCTTTCTTTTTTGTATATTTTTCTTTCTTTTCTCGACGAAATGGTTCATTCTTTCTTACTTTCCCTTCTTTTGAGAGAAAGCAAGAATACTTGCTTTCTGTCTTTTTTATTTCATTTCTTTCATTATTCTTTATAGATACCATTAATCATTTTCAACAGAATTCCTTCTTTCTTTTGACAAATGAACTGCTAAATTTTTAAAATCGGTGTTGACTGAAAATTAAAATTCTTTCTAAATGTATGATATATTTTCTCCCAAAAGAATTCCTTTTTTGTAGCATCAGTGGTTCTTTCTATGTAAACACATAAGTATTTGCGCGTAAGGGTATCACGAACCGAGCGGCGACAAATCTCCTTTGAAATAAAAATCTAATAAAATCCACATTTCTTTGTCCTGACATTCTTTCGTCATTTTTGTTTACATTTGATTCGCCATGAGCAGATCTTTGTTTGATGGAAAATTCATGGAAAGTCCTCTTTTAAAACAATTCCCTTCGACCGTTTTAACCGAACGCGTCTTCCTTTTCGTCGGTCTTTTCTTTCAGAAAAGACAGTTCCGTTCTAGTCATACAAGTTCGATCCTGTCCTTTTAAATATTTTCTTCTTTCTCTCTCAAATACACTTTCTTCCAGTAAATTTGTTTAATAAAAGTTTTGTATAAAAGATAGTGATTTATTTAATATTTTCCTCTTAAAAAATTCCATTTTTCTTTATATATATATATTCCTATAATTTCAGACTTTCTTTCTTTCTAGGTTAGGCATTTAAACTTTTATTCACATTCCACACCCTATTTTCATGTCGCTTTCAGTGTTTAAAAATGTTTCCTTCCTTCTCGTCCGAGTTCCTTCCTTTCTTTTCCTTCCTTTCTTTCATTTCCTTTCATTCTTTCTTTCTTATACTCTTCCTTCCTCTCCTTTTCCTCCCTTCTTTCCAGGTTTTAATTATTCTTCTTTCTTTCGACAGTTCAAAGACTTAACAAAAACAGAACACATTCACTTTATTAAGTTTGTTTTATTCTTTTTCCCTTTCTTTATTAAAAAAAAAAGCAGCATTGCCCGGCGTTATTTTTGAAGTAAAGATACGCTTATAAAAGATAGTACTATTTAATAAGAGTAAAACAATTTTCTTTTTTATTTTAATCCTTCCTAGTGTTGTCTGACTTTAACCCTTATCCTTCATACGCTTTCACAAATGTAGACCATCCTCTCCTTTGGGAACCTACAGTCTTTCTGGCGGAAATTTCCTTCAGAATTTTCTTTCTTTCTTTCTTTCTTTCTTTCTTTCTTTCATGCTTGACTTCAATTTTATCCTCTCCCTTTAAAACAGTTCCCTTTCTTTCTTTCTTTCTTCCTTCCAGTGTTTCTTTCTTTCTTTCTTTCTTTCAGTTTCTTTCTTTCTTTCCTCTCCTTTATACAACTCCACTCCTTTAAAACAATTTCTTCCTTCCTTTCTTTCTTTCTTTCTTTCCTTCTTTCTTTCTTTCTTTCTTTCTTTCTTTCTTTTATTCAACTTATACCCCGTTACTATCCTCTCTTTAAAAATTCCTTCTTTCTTTTCTTTTTTTTCTTCCTTCCTTTTCTTTTCTTTCTTTCTTTCTTTTCTTTCTACGCTTATACCCGATACTATCCTCTCCAAAACAATTCCCTTCTTCTTTCTTTCTTTCTTTCTTCCTTCCTTTCTTTCTTTCTTTCTTTCTACGCTTATTTTTATCCTCTCCTTTAAAACAATTCCCTTCTTTCTTTCTTTTGCCTTTTCCTTCCTTTCTTTTCTTCGTTCTTTTTTATTTGTTTCTTTCTTTTCTTTCCTTGTACACATTACTATCCTCTCCTTTAAAACAATTCCCTTCTTTCAGTATTCTTTCCATTCTTTCTTTCTTTCTTTCTTTCTTTCTTTCTTTCTTTCTTTCTACCCTTTACTTTTTATCCCCCTTTAAAAACAATTCCCTTCTTTCTTTCTTTCTTTCTTTCTTCCTTCCTTTCTTTCTTTCTTTCTTTCTTTCTACGCTTATACCCGTTACTATCCTCTCCTTTAAAACAATTCCCTTCTTTCTTTCTTTCTTTCTTCCTTCCTTTCTTTTTTCTTTCTTTCTTTCTTTCTTTCTTTCTTTCTTTCTTTCTTTCTTTCTACGCTTATACATGTTACTATCCTCTCCTTTAAAACAATTCCCTTCTTTCTTTCTTTCTTTCTTTCTTTCTTTCTTTCTTTTTCTTTCTTCGATACTTATGCTCTTTTCTCTGTTCTCTTCCTCAATTCCCTTTTACTTTCTTTTTTTTCCTTCTGCTTTTCTTTCGTTCTTCCATTCTTTCTTTCGTTTTTTTCTTCGACTCTTACACTCATTTCTCTATTCTATTCCTAACCCAATTCTTTTCCTTCTTTCTTTTATTTCTTTCTTTCTTTTTCTTTCTTTCTTTCGTTATTCGACACTTATACCCGTTTTTCTGCCCTTTTCCTTACACAGTTCTCTTTTTCCTTTTTTTATTCGTTCTTTCTTTCTTTCGTTCTTTCTTTCTTTCTTCCTTTCAATCTTTCTTTCTTTGACCATAATATCCTTTTCTCTGTTCTCTTCCTTACACAATTTCCTTCTTTCTTTCTTTCTTTCTTTCTTTCGTTCTTTCTTTCTTTCTTTCCTTCTTTCCTTTGTTCTTTCTTTCTTCGGCAAACATTGGGTTGGGGATTTACCTGCAGTTTCGGAGGGAAACAATATGATTTATTATCGGTCTTAGACAATACCTAAGTGTGAGTTATTGACTGCTGTCGAAGTCTGTTTCTATCTATTCGACTTTTCAAAATCTCTCTTTCTCTGCTTCTCAATGATTCGCCTCGACGTTTCCCTCTCTACGTAATTTCACTCTTTCTTTTTTCAATCTTCTCCCCTCTCATCTTTTACTTCATATTCTTATTCATTCCTTCTTTTTTTCATTGATTCCTTTCTCTGTACTTCATTTCTTTATTTATTCATTTTTATTTTTTCTGTCTACTTACCCATACTGTCTTCCTTTCCTTCTTTTATTTTTCTCTATTTATTCTTCTTTCTTTCCTTTATTCTTCCTTTTGTTTGCGGGGGGGGGCTTTTTTAATTTTTTCTCTGTAACATTTTTTTTTATTTCTTGCTTTTTTTCTTTCGTTTTTTTACTCTGCTTTCTTTCATTTATTTCCCCTTCTTTCTCGACTTTCTTTATATTCGCTCTTAATCCTTTCCTTCTTTACGTCTTTTTGTCTTTCTTTCTTTCAATTTCTTCTTGTATTGTTCGATATTTTTTCTTTCAATCGTTGTTTCTCCTTCGGCAGTTATACCAGTTTGTCTGTCCTCTTCCTTACACAACTCCTTTCTTTCTTTCTTTTCTTTTCTTTCTTTTCATATCCGTTTCTATCCTCTCCTTTCAATTCCCTTCTTTCTTTCTTTCTTTCTTTCTTTCTTTCTACGCTCATTCTTTCCTTTCCTTCTTTCTTTCTTTCTTTCCCTTATTTCCTTCTTTCTTTCCTTTCTTTCTTTCTTTCGTTCTTTCTTTTCTTTCTTTCTTTCTTTCTTCCTTATACCCGTTTACTATCCTCGCTAAAACAATTTCCTTTCAACAACAACAACAACAACAACAACTTTCTTTCTTTCTTCTTTCTTTCTTTCTTTCTTTCTTTCTTTCCTCCTAACAACAACACTCAACATCCTCTTCAACAACAACAATTCCTTCTTTCTTTTTTTCTTTCTTTCTTTCTTTCTTCTTTCTTTCTTTCTTTCTTCTGCAACATACTCATTTGCTATCCTCTTCCCAAAACAATCTCCCTTCTTTCTTTCTTTTCTTTCTTTCTTTCTTTCTTTCTTTCTTTCTTTCTTTTCTTTCTTCTACACATACTCGTTGCTATCACTCTTTTCTAAAACCATTCCCTTCTTTTTTCTTTCTTTCTTTTTCTTTCTTTTCTTTCTTTTCTTTCTACTTACCGTTTCTATCGTCTTCCTAAACCATTCCCTTCTTTCTTTCTTTCTTTCTTTCTTTCTTTCTTTTCTTTCTTTCTTTTCTTTCTTTTGCTTCATATACCATTTTCTATCTCGTCTTCCCTAAAACCATTCCTTCTTTTTCTTTTCTTTCTTTCTTTTCTTTCTTTTCTTTTCTTTCTTTCTTTCTTTCTTCTGCATATACCCGTTTCTGTCGTCCTTATAAACCACTTCTTTCTTTCTTTCTTTCTTTCTTTCTTTCTTTCTTTTCTTTCTTTCTTTATACATTTTTCTGTCCTTTTCCTTACCCAGTTTCTTTTTCGTCTTCCAAACCATTTCCCTTCTTTTCTTTCAATCTTTCTTTCTTTGGCCTTTCTTTCTTTCTTTCTCTTCCCTTCTTCCGTTTCCTTATACCTTTCTGCTCTTTCTTCCCTTTTCCTGTTCCTTCTTTCTTTTATTCTTTCTTTCTTTCTTTCTTTCTTTCTTTTCTTTCTTTCCTGCTTTTTATGCTATTTCTCTGTTCTCTTCCTTACACAATTCCCTTTTTTCTTTTTCTCTTTTATGAAACTTTTAGAAGTTTACTTTATCTTCTTCCGTACACAATACCCTTGATCCATTCATTTTTTTTTATCTTTGTCACAATTTCTCTATCCTACAAAGATACTAATACTTTCTTTCTTTCTTTCTTTCTTTCTTTCTTTCTTTCTTTCTTTTTCTTTCTTAGCAATATTCCACACGCTTATTTTATTTTTTCTTTCTTTCTGTCATCCTTCCTTCCTTCTTTCTTTCTTTCTTTCTTTTTTTCTTTCTTTCTTTCTTTCTTTCTTTCTTGTGTTTGCTAATCGACTAATGTGTTCTGGCATTCTTCAATATTTTGCCCTTTTCTTTCTCTCTTTCTTTCTTTCTTTCTTAATATTCACACGCTTTATTTCATTTTTCTTTCTTTCTTTCATCCTTCTTTCTTTCTTTCTTTCTTTCTTTTTTCTTTCTTTCTTTCTTTCTTAATATTCTCACACTTTCTCTCTTTGTTTCTTAATATTCAAACGCTTTCATTCTTTTTTCTTTTTTCTTTTTTAATATTCCAACTCTTTTTTCTTCTTTCTTTGTTTTCATCCTTCTTTCCGTTCTTTTCGTTTCTTTCTTTCTTTCTTTCTTTCTTTCTTTCTTTCTTAATATTCCAACTTTCTTTTTTTTCTTTTTTCTTTTCTTTTCTTTCTTTTTTTCTTTCTTTCTTTCTTTCTTCCCCGTTCCGTTCTTTAAGCTTTTTTTCTTTCTTTCTTTCTTTCTTTTTTTCTTTCTTTCTGTCTTTCATTTCATTTCTTTCTTTCTTTTTCTTTCTTTCTTTCTTTCTTTCTTTCTTTCTTAATATTCATTTTTATTTCATTTTTCTTTCTTTCTTTCATCCTTTCTTTCTTTTTCTTTCTTTCTTTCTTTCTTTTTCTTTCTTTCTTTCTTTCTTTTCTTTCTTCCCTTCACACGCTTTAAGCATTTTTCTTTCTTTTCTTTCTTTCTTTTATTCTTTCTTTCTGTCTTTCGACTTATTTCTTTCTAGCATTTCATTTATTTCTTTTCTTTCTTTCTTTTTCTTTCTTTCTTTCTTTCTTTCTTTCTTTCTTTCTTTCTTTCTTTCTTTCTTAATATTTCCAATAATATTTCATTTTTCTATTCTTTCTTTCATGTACTTTTCCCATCTTTTTTAATTAACATACTTTATTTCATTTTCTTTCTTAAAATCCATCTTTCTTTCTACACCATTGCTTTCTCAATCTTAAAAAACTCACATTAGAAAACTTTTCTTAATATTCGATTATTTGTTATTATCTTTTTTCGACATTCAAAATGTATTTCCTTTCTTTTATTTATATTCCCGTTCATTCTTTCTTTCTTTCTTTTGCTTTTTTCTTTTCTTTCTTTCTTTCTGTCTTTGACTTTTATACTCCCTCTCTATCCTCTTCACTACCATTCCACAATTCATTTTCTTATATAAGTTTTTCTCCCTTTTCAAATCATACACAACAATAATTATCGTCATGGGGAAGGCAATTTTCTTTCTCAAATTTTCTCCAAAGAAACTGATTTTTGAAACATTGAAGGAAGGCAAAAGCTTTTTTCCTTCCTAGCAGATATCTTTTTTATACCATTTACTACTATTAGTTCCGTTTTTGTTAAGTTCCAAAAAGGTAAAAACTGTTAAGAACAAATTGAAAGTCTTCATATACCGCGGATTTCTCCCCTTTTCAATGAAGAATTCAAAGCGCAAAATTCAAGAAAATCAAATGACTATTCAGAGAAGAAATACAGGAAGATTTTTTTTAAAGCATCAGGTATTTCTTACCATCTCTCAAAGAGTAAGCAATGCAGTCGGTTCTTTGAAAAACCATCCATTACTATTGAAGAAAAATAGGCATTCTTGGCTAAAGTTTGTTCGTGAGCATAAGAGGAAACCTGAAATCATTTTAGGAAAGTGTTTCATGGACAGATGAAGTCAAAATTGAACTATTTGGGCGTAATTTGCACCGAAGAACACAATCCCAATGGTGAAATTTGGTTGTAGCAATATCATGATTTGGGGATTTTTTTTTTCTGATAATGGTACGGGTAATTTAGAAATAATAGATGGTAGAATGAATCCAAAATATACCAAGATTTTGGTCTCTAATTTGTTTGGGTCAGTAGTAAAGTTTAGACTCCAAATGAATGGGTTTTGCAACAAGATGACGACCCTAAGCACACGGATAAATCAGAAAAATGACTTATTGAAAACAATGCCAATAGCTCGAATGGCCATTACAGTCTCCAGACTTGAATCCAATAGAGAATTTGTGGCGTTTATTAAAGATTCAAGTTAATAAAAGAGTTTCGAAAAATATCCTGGGCCCTAAAGAGACTTATGAAGAATGGAGTAAAATATCAACTTGAAATTTTAATCATTGATTAAAAGATACAGAAAGAAACGGATTGTTGTTGAATTGAGTAAGGGTATGCTATAAAGTATTAAATAGGTATTATAATGTTGTACGAATACATTTTTCGCTTCCAATTTTTTTAATTTCATATTTTTCTGCTTATTGCAGCATTATTCTATGGTATACAAATATTGTATGAATTATAATATTTTTATAAAATCTATATTAAATAAAAAATTCATATATACGAATATTTCTCCCCACCACTGCATATATATATATATATATATATATATATATATATATATTATATTATATTCTTT